ATGCTTGTTTCTTGAGGCCGGTATGCGAAAGCTCAAACAATTAAGGCAATACTTTGCTCGATACGTCTATCTTTTCCACGTCTGGCGCATGCTGGTGTGATTGGTAACGTTATTCCATGGGCTCGTGCTCAACGACCTGATAAGCATTTTGTAGTGCCCTGACATTCCGATTGTGTAGGTACTTCAATCCTTCTGGTTGTATTGTCTCCACGCCCATTTGCACGGTGGTAGCCTCCGCCTCCTTATACGTTGGCACCACTCAGGCATAGGATTATTTTAGTGAAGACTCAGGGCACTACAATATGTCAATTGGTGTTCGTGGGATTATGAAATAATCAACGCGGTAAGGTTTATGCAATGATATGGTGCGCCAATCTGCGCAAGTTTTGCATCTCCATTCAGTCTGCCGCCCGAACAACGTGAATTTTCTTGTACATTGGTAAGGAATCACAAGCTAAAATAGCTACCCTTTTTAATGTGATACAGGACGACAAAATAAGCTTAAGTAAACTGTTCCTGGAACAAAAGACCAAATTTTTCTATAGTTGTTCAAATGTCTTCTGTCTTACAGTTGTGCTTTTTTTCGAAGTTCGGGCTCCCGGTTTGTTGGTCTTAGTTTACACTATACAAGGGGGAAGGGGAGGGTGAGGGGGAGGAGAGAAGGGATCCCGGTTCCACTGCGACTTATAATAAAATAAAATATCATTGAATGCGGCCGACGGATTATTTACTTGGCTCTAGCTTTTTGTGAGGGTATATATTGTGCTCCAGCATCGCGCTTTCTTACGGTGATTAGGCCTGCCCCAATTTCCTGTATGTGGAGTATGTTGGTTTCGTCTCAGTGGTGTGCCTCCATTCACCATCAGATTAGCCAATCTAATCGTAACTTGTATTTACCATTACACTCTGCTGGGGGACCAACGCCAGAGAGGTGGAAGTAGTGCATGTAACATGAATAGGATGATCGGCGACGATTCAGTGAAGGAAGCCTAAAAACGTCTAGCTGGGTAGAAGGCATTTTGTTGAGCTGAGCAAACATATTCTAGGCGGATGAATAGGAATTGGACCTTGGCATGATCCAACATCCAGGCAATGCGTATAAGGGCAAGGCTAACCCTAAAGTCCTCCCCAGACATCAGGTCGTCACATAAGTAAAGTATCACATTGAGACGACACAAACTGTTATATTTCCTCCCGTATGTTGAATCATGTGCATTCCATCCAGATAACAACTTCCAGTGTTTTAAGAGCTGTCTCGAGGATATAAGCCGTTCGTGTGTATAAAGGGCATATCCTTTGACATGAACG